AGCAATGAATGACAGCAGGATTGACCATAGGTATAGTGAGCTTATTTATAATATTTACAAAAATGCCACTATGACTGTTAAAATAGACAATAAAACCCGACCAATAAAAATAAATCGTGGAATAAGGCAAGGAGATACATTGTCGCCGAAATTATTCATAACGGCATTAGAATATGCCTTTAAGATGATCAATTGGGACCACAGAGGAGTAACGATAGACGGCGAAAAGCTTAACCATCTCCGTTTCGCAGATGACATTGTCCTTATCACAGATAATTTAGGAGAAGCTACAGATATGATAAACGAATTGGATTTTGCATGTTCGAAGGTGGGCCTGAGAATGAACTTGACCAAAACTAAGTTTATGACAAATTTGGTCCCCAATAACCATTTGACTATTCAAGACAAAGTGGTAGAACTGGTGGAGAAATATACGTATTTGGGTCATGAAATAAGAATCAGCAGGGATAACCAAACATGTGAGATCCAAAGACGAATTACTTTAACATGGGCAGCCTTTGGAAAACTGCGAGACACACTTAGGGCCAACATACCAATCAGCCTCAAAAGAAAAGTGTTTGACCAATGCGTATTACCGGTCATGACCTATGGGGCGGAAACTATGACTTTAACCAAGACCACGGCTTCGAAACTGAGAGTGGCACAGAGACGAATGGAACGGTCTATGCTGGGAGTGACGTTGAGGGACCGAATAAGAAACGAAGATCTGCGAAGAAGGACGAGTATTACTGATGTTGTGGAACGCATAGCGGAACTAAAATGGAACTGGGCAGGCCATGTAGCGAGAATGCACGATTCACGATGGACGAGCAAAATTACAAATTGGAGGCCAAGAGCAGACAAACGCAGTAGAGGAAGACCACCTACACGTTGGGCCGACGACATCAGGCGTATCACTAAAAATTGGCAACAAAGAGCACAAAATCGTGAGGAATGGAGGAGTTTAAGGGAGGCCTATGTCCAGCAGTGGACGTGATAAATAGAGGCTGGAATGATGAAATATACCAAATACAATTATAAGAAAGAAGAACGAGCATGAGCAGACGTAGGTATACTTGTCCGTAAAAATTTAAAGACAACATAAATAACTGCACGAATAAGAGATGAAATAGTTCCAGGAATAAAACAAAGATTTAATGAAAACCATCTCAACGCAAATTGAAAACTCATAGCTGATCTCTGTGCTTTTCTAGATTCTAGATATTCAAACTTAATTCAATTTGTGAGTCATTGAGTATATGACTCAAAAATTAATCGAGGAATATAAAAAATGGGGACTTTAAAATCAATATCCAAAAAACCGACGGCGGGAAACAATAGGACCTCATATTGGAAGATGGAGAAGTTATCAAACATTGCAACACATATAAATATTTAGGTATGATCATCACAAAAGAAGGCAACGACACAATTGAGGAGAAAAACAATCAAGCAAGAAAAGCAATTTCCCTTCTCAATAGTATCCTTTGGCATCAATCAATCTCTAATAATAACAAAAACAAGATATATAATACAATCATTAAAAGTATAATTACCTACAGCAGACGAAGTATGGCAATTAAAGGAAAGATACAAGAGAAAACTTGAGGCAACGGAAATAGATTTCTGGAGAGGTTTTGCTGGAAAATCTAGACTAGAAACACTAACAAACAACAAAATAAGAGAAATTATGAAAGTAAAACATACAATAGTAGACGATATTGGTACCCAATAACTCAGATGGTACGGTCATGTACAGAAAGTGTCTGAAGAACAAGTCTTAATGTGGACTTCTTACGGTAGAAAAAAAAAAGAGGAAGACCCCGCCTTAGTTGGAGAGAAGGCATCAACAGAGAAATGGAAGAAGGAGACATCGAAGAAGACTATGGATGAATCGAGACGAGTGGCAACCGGGTATCGGAAGACGTAGAAGAACGTTTCGAACGAAAACTTCGATATCTTTTGATCAGAGTGTCCTACCGACAAAAATAAGCTTTTTGAAGGTAAAGAGTGCAGCTTTCTTATGCAAATTTTTGCGTTTTGTCTCAATTAAACCTTAAAGGATGAGAACAATAACAGTAATATCATATTTAGTTATTGGAAAGAAAATTTTTAAGCTAAAACAACAATTTCTGATAGAGAAAGCTAGAACTAAGTACCTAGTACCAGTTCTCTGTACTGTCAATATTTTTAAATTTCAAATTTCAAAAAACATTGATTGATAATATAGTCAAAATATAATAGTCACAAATATATAGATATATCTGTAAAGAAATATGACAAAAGTGATCAATGAATGACAAAATATTAAAAGAACATGTACATTCTTGAAGATAAACGACCGGATTTAGGTACAAAAAAAATATGGCACAGGGAGTGGCATGTCGTATATTTCCAACAGGCTCAAATTATTGCAAATCTGCGACAAAGATAAAGTGGCAACAGTAGCAAAAATATCTGTGAAAAACTCAATAAAAAAACATCAAACTGACTGTAGACATGTTTAAATACAGTACCTATCTCAAAAACTCAAAACTAAGATAAATAAATGACAATACTAGAAACCAAACTGTAAATAACATCAAAAAAATATTAAAAAATCTATTTAAAATTCACCGTAAAACTTGAAGAACAGATTTTAGTAACAAAATACTTACCAAAAACTTCGTCATTGTAGATATTCTCTATCACAACAGATGCTACAAAACTGGTACAGTACCAACAAGCTGTTTGGGTAAAACTGAGTGCTAAGTGGTTCTACCAGTCCCTAGCTCTTTATATATTTCAGATAAGAGCCGTAATTTCCTTAATGGTCGTACTTTCACAGTATAAATTGATCATTAAACAGTAATATTTTCCATAATGACGTTTTTTTAATGGGATTATTCTGAGGATAAACGACGCGATGAAGTAAGTAGAACATTTGAGTGAGGAGTCCCGAGAGGAACCAAGAATGTTGTAGGCTATTACAAAGCGATTATTTTCCACTCAAAATTTAGTCATTGACTTGTACGCGAAGAGAAAATTCCGTGATGCTGAGGGTAGATTATGCGTAGTAATGAAAACGTTTGAATGGAACAGCGTCAAAATATCTTTTACTTGCTATAAAATCTTTTTAATACAGTTATTTTTATTTAAATCATGCAGTGCAGGAATTTTCTTTACAATCTTTCTCGCTGTTAATTGATGGTATCAAGCTGTATTTTCCACGGAAGTGTTTCTATTCTTATATCTACATATTTCCTTGTTTAGGCTTACTGCCGTTGTTGTTTAATGGTTATTCAATATCACCTGTTTAATTCTTTTATAATTGATCCATTTCGCTTATAATAATTGTTTCTTGCTTCTTTATCAAACCAATTTATAAACAGCAATAATTCTAAAGTTATGCAACATATAATACTTAAGAGTGTTTGCGCAAAATTTCGGGCTAATGCTTTAATAAATGCATTCATTTTTTTTTCGAATCCTGAGAAAACTAATAAATATTTTTGAAAAATTTAAAAGCAGAATGAAAGATTACATTATTACTGAGGGCAGAAAGTCCCTGAAATCTTTTATAATGTTTATTTTAATAAGTTACAGGGTTGAAAAAGAAGAGAAAATTTAGTGCGATTTTTAATTTTAAATATCTTATTAAAAAAAACTTTTTGTTAATTCTAAGGGACTTTCGGCCTCAGGTAATAATAGAATATTTCATTTTGCGTTTTAATTTTTTAAAAATATTTATTAGTTTTCTTAGGATTCGATAAAAATGAATGCATTTAAAGGCATTGGCTAGGAATTTCGCCCTACGCTCTTAACTATTGAACCATAAAACTTTTATTTTTTTTGTGTTCCTTTATGGGATATTTTTATTTGCCTTATTCATTTATTTTCATTGTTTTTATTATCTTCCTGCTCTATATTTTGGTATTTCTGTATTGTAAATCTTACATTAAAAAAAACAAAATGCTAAACAAATTAATTAACTTAATTAATTTACCGTCAATCTAAAATTGTGTGGTTTGTTAGTACTATAAAACTCAACTTTCGGTACAATAAAGAGTAGGTTGGTTTTTACAAGACTAACAAATAATCAAGGATTATTTTGAAAAAATTTTGCTTAATTTTGCAGTTTTCGTAGCAACACAAATCATAAAATACTTGTTAGATACATGAATTATACCAAATTTTCAAACAGTATTTTTTAGTTGAACTATATAATCATTTCATGTCTTTATTACATAAATTCTTAATGAGTTTTCTTCTAAACATATGCAAAATACTCACGGAACTCTGGTTTTGATTTGTTTTGAGAAAAATATTCTTATTTGCCCACCTGGCAGATGTATTTTAAAAATATATTGATTTCTGTGCGATTGTTACTTTTTAGACTGTAAATCTAGTATAAATGTTTTAAAATTCGTACAACTTTTTAATAATATTCCTCTTTTAATTGACCTGATAATTATTACAGTTTCGCAAATTCAATTTTTAATATTGCCACTTCCACATATGCAACACACAATACAGTAAACCTTATTGTGACGACAACAATTTCATTCAAATGAGATATTAATTGAAAATAAAACGAATAATCATTCCTATTATCACATAAATTTCGTTTTTGAATTTATTTGTAATATTTTATTAAAAATAGCCTATCAGCATAATTTATGAAGGCGTTAAATATTGCAACGAGGAACTGTAAGTTGCCTAGATTTAGGAAAACTAAGTTCCTGAATGTTATTCTAGTGAGAAAATATGTTTTAAAAGTGGTAACGGGAGGATTTAGGAGACAAAAAGCGTTTTTGTGTTACGTATCAATATCATTTTACTTTACTAAAAGAAATAATCATAAATTAACTCTTTTTTAATGAAGAAAGGATTTATGTCCACTATCAATGTAGTGCACAGCTTTAGGAATAATTTTAAATAAGATTATGTAACTCAAACACTTGAAAGATTTGAAATGATCTTTATTAAAAATATATTAGATATAAAAATATAAAACAAAAATCTGTGCGAATTCGGCAATGCAGTGTTAAAACTCAACAGGAATTTCTGTAACAAAAAATAAACATTAGGTATACTTTATTAATCATTAAACAAACTCCTAATCACCTTTTCCTCTTCTTGCCCTCTCCAATAGCCTAAGAAACTCTTCAAAAATGGTAACTGAATGCAGCAAACTGGTTTTTTTATAGTCTTTGATCTTCGATTTCGATGGAGTCTTACCACCATCTACTTCCATCAGATTTTGCTCTTGTTCTACTGTCTTTTTATCATAGGCATTGATTCTCATCAATTAGGCCACTAAAATCATAAAAATGAGTGTAATGGAATGGAATTTTGTTGGTATTAAGTACCTACATATTATTATAAATATAGAGAGCAAAAGGGTAACTATTATGTAAAAGTAAAAATACATAAAAACACTGAAATAGGCATCTCATCTGAAAGCACTATCAATATTGGAGTACCACAAGGAAGTGTGATTGGTCCTTTACTGTTTGTAATCTATATCAATGATCTTCATGGTCTAGTGGCTAATACTACTTCAGCATAACAAATTATGCAGATGATACAAACATTTTAGTCAGTGGTAAAGACATGTCTGTTCTAAGTGTTAATGCTAGTTTAGAGTTCCAGAAAGCTAAAGACTGGTTTTCTATGAATAGGTTGGTTTAAATCAAAATAAAACAGATCTTCTTTTGTTTAAGACAAATTATGCACATTCAGATATGCCGAACAGTATTATTGTAAATAATGACACTTTAAATATTAGCAGCAGTACAAATTTTTAGGATTATATATTGACAGTTTTTTTATGTTGGGATAAACATGTTGACCAGTTATGTATGTCTTTGAGTAAAGTGATTTACAGCTTTAGAGTTCTAAAAAAATACATGAATAGTAACTCATTAAAAACAGTGTATCATGCTAATTTTGAAGCAAAATTTAGATATGGTCTAATAAATTTTGGCCACAGTAGGGACATAAATAATGTATTTCTGGTTCAGAAAAAAATAATCAGAGTTATGTTTGACTTAAAAAGTAGGGAATCATGTAGAGGGCATTTTAGGAGTAATAATATTTTAACAGTTTACGCTGTATTTATTCAAGAATGCTTACTGTTTCTATATAAAAATAAAATACTCTTTAGGAACTTTGAGCCCAATAGTATAGTAAATACCAGGTTATATAATTTTAAAATTCCAATACACATGTTAAGTATAACAGAAAAAAACACTATTGCTGCATCAAATTGTTTAATAAACTGCCTGAACCTATTAAAAGGGAGGAAAGATTAAGTGTGTATAAACATCAAATATTTAAATTACTGGTAGCTCTTGAGCCATATTCTGTGGAGGACTATTTGTATATGTAACGGTTAGGAATAAGTAAATAATATTTTCGTTTGTGACAGTTTTTTTAAATAATTTTATGTTCACGGAATGTATATTATTTTCTAAAAATAAAGATATTTGTTGTTGTTGTTATGCTGCCTGAGTATTACAAAGGTGTATGTAACAAAATTGAAAAATCAGCAATTTTACGATAACAAGCTTCTATGTAGCATAAGACACCCATAGAATTTTAGTGAACTTTTCAAACTCAGAATAACATGGTCCTATTTAGTATATAGAAATTTATTTTCTGATTATTACAAGCTTAGTAGCAGTGAAAAAAGATGTTTATTTTAAGCACAACTGAAATAAATATTCCACAGCGAAGAAGAAAAAGAAAAAAGTGCTTAAAACTCACAAAACTAAAACCTTTAAATTCTTCTTTATTTTAGGTAATAACAAAATACAGGTTTGCAAACAGTTTTACTGCGGAATAAAGGTAAAGTCAAAAACCTATATACAACTGTCTACAAAAATTCTACAGAAGCGAACGCAATTCGTCAAAGTGTTCAGGAAAGCATAGAAAAAAAGTTACATCAGATTAAACTGCCAATTTTGATCATAATTAATATGTTCCAGTAATAGAAAGCCATTAATGAAGGCTGATACTAAAAGAAAATAATGTAGAGAGTGACCTACTACAGCAAAAAATGTACAATATAGTACAAGTAATTCATAAAGTGAAAAACTTAACCTACTAAAACTTAAAGTTTATATCAAAAAAATTTTTAACTTAAAGTTTATCGCGCGATTTTGTCAGGGTAATGCAATGGTGGGGTTGGGAGATATATGTATATACAACATACCGAAAAGGGTTGTTATAAGACTATCCGTTATTGGGAGTATTTAAACTTTATGGAGCGATATGTTGCGTTCCGCAAAATCACAATAGATTTATGAGTTTTGCTATTTTAAAAACTAAACACGAACTTAAGAAAATTCAAATGAAATTTTCAGTACCTGAACATTCCTGCATTTAAAAGGTTAATTTAGTTCAGTTCAGTGCAATTCAGTTAGAAAATCTGATCTTTTGAAAGTAAACACAAGAAAGTCTTACACCATACTTCAAATGAAAGAGCCAGATTTTCTGGATTTTTCAACCTATTCATCAAAATTGAATTATACTGCAGTTCCATTTTCAAACGGTTCATTCATTTACTCGATTATAAAGTGTTTTTCGAACCACTTTTAACAAACATGAATAGAAAATCATCAGTTTAAGACAACAGAATGCAGGAAGATAACTGCTGAAAATGACGAAATACCCATATCAATAAACAAAAATGATATTAAAGTCACCTTGGCACAAAAAAAGTGGAAGATCTGAAATCTATGTACAAGTGGATGCCAGATATAGACAGAAACTTTTATGTTCACATGTTTTTCAACATATCTCAACATAAACAGTAAAACTGAGATTGCTGATCAGAAGATAATGTTACAAAGACTTATGTTTCATGTTTTTGCATTTTTCGTTTTTTATTAGGGTCACGAAGTCCTGTTATTTTATTTTTTCAATAAAAGTATGGAAAAATTAAAATATTTTTATTCCTTTTTTTTAATGTGCTTTTGTAGTAGACTTTATCTATTATGTTTAAAACAAAAGCAAATATACTTTCTTGTATGCCAAATCTAATGGTCAAAATATTCAAAGTCATTTTTCTCAATTTTCTACATTTTGTATCATACAACCTTGTCACAATTCTTAGGCAGAGTATAGGTTAAACACATTGTAAATTTAAAAATAGTTTATAAATGTGCTGGATGTCCCAAGTGAGGAAAATTCAGGTAAAGACAATATTATTTAGTGAATATTATTCTATGAATTATGAATATTAGCCTGACTAGTTTTCAACAAGTTTCGAACCAGTTAGAGATTTTAGGACATTTCTTACTGTTTCTAACTCCAAGACAGAGAAAAATTTCTAGCCTTAACTGGAAATATCACACTTTTGAAAACAACTGGAAAGTCCTGGTCTCTCAGATGATTGTATAAATACAATCCCTATGTACTTTTGTCCTTTTAATTATTTTTAACAAACAATAACCTTATTCAACATTCTAAATGTGGTAAATAACATATCTATTCATTGTAAAAATGTCTTTAATTTATCAAAAAACACAGTGAACCTCAAGTATCTGTATTAGTAAAAAAAATTTAAAATATTTTAAGAGATTGTCAAAAACTGTATAAAAAACTAAAAGTTAAACAAAGTTTTTATGAGTATTAAAAAGCTGTTGAATTCAAAAAGCAACTACATATACAGAATATAAAAAAAAACAACATTATGGTCTGTAGCAATCACTGACTTTCCTAACTGTTCATGTTTACACATTTAGTTAGAAGATTTTCATTATTGTTATGTTTTTTTGTACAAGCAAGACAAAAAAAATCTGCAATATAACTACTATGTCCACAGTTTCATCAGCTACTATCATTTTTTTTTCTACAACTTCAATTTAAAATAGTTTCAGAGCTGTTTTAGTCATTAATATTATAAATAATACTTACTGCAATGTTGGAAACATTTCCTGGATCAAAATTATCAATTCCTTTTGGATTGAAAGGAACTGAGATCTTCCCTGTCTTTGGGTGGACACAAAATGGAGACTTCAACAAGTGATTGAAGCCCTTAGTAACATTAATATCAAGCCTAGGAGTAGGAATACTGTAGTATTATTTCTTCTTTGAGGTTCCTAAGAAATTTGGGAATTTGGTTCTAAAAAAATAATAAAATAAAAATGTTTCAGGAAAGAATTAAATTAGAATGAAAGATAAATGGCGGAAATTACATAAATGGCTACAGTTAAATTGATAAAATACTATAAAACCGTTTTTATACACTAGTACTTGTTTTCTGAATTTTATGTCTATCACTTACACTTCTCAGCATATCATCAAATGTATCAACAAAAACTTTCCATCTTTCCAGAGAAGTTTCTGCTCGTTTCATTGGACCTTTAAAGGACGGCCTCAGATCTTGGTCTATAATCTGTAGAAAATTAGCCAGTCTTTCATCTGTACCTAAAATGTCTTGTTCTTCCACAATAGTGGTAAAATAGGTATTTATAATGCCCAAGGCCCTTCTGTAATATAAAAGGAAAATGAATCTGTTAACAATATGTGCTGAAACAGGAAAAATTCATTATCAAATGCAAAACTTTCACTTTTATGCTTTTTAGATGGAAATAACAATATAGAATCTATGTTAATCAATGACAATAGCAACCTTTTAGGTATTATAAACTTTTAATTTTGCTTTGATAAGAATATTTGGAAGTTTACTATTATAGCATCCTTTATAATTGATTTTTAAACAAGTAATTCGATAACGCACAGTTGCTGACTGACAAATGCTGACATACTAGTTAAAATTTGCATTCTGGTTGCATTTTAAACTTTATAAATTTGTCTTAAAAGTTGAATAGTTGAATTACTCACTCTAAAGATGCATGTATCTTTTCTCCAGGCAACTGTACCATTTTATACACATTAGCACCTCCTCTAACAATCTGAAGGTAATCTCCTATACAAGATCTAATAGATTCATCCATTACCCTTGCATGAGGGTCACATACCCAGCAATGGATACCTTAAAAATTGATAAAATCAAATAATTGCATTAATATGTTTTTATAAATGCAAAAGTATACCTCTCCTACCAGAAAACACCCAGAGCCTGTGATTAAAGCCAAAATCTCTATAAAGCGCTGCATCTAATATTTTACAAGCTATCACCATAAACTTCCAACATTTTGTGCACACATCTGCACCTGAACAACAAGTCCTGATATCATCATAGTCAGTCATATCGATGTCAAACACTATTTCCTTTTCTACAGGTACAATCTGCGACACAGGACCTTTGTCTCTCGGTTTGGTTTGATATATAGCCCCTAAATCGATCTTCATAGGGAATTTCTTTTGTAGTTCATTTGAAAAATCTTCTTGAGTGTCAAATGATTGATATCGAATGTAAATATCTCCGAGTAGAGTAAACGAAATTTCTCTCTTGGCAAATGTTAATGTATGTCCTAAAATGATTGTTCTCTCAATAAGGAACTTAGAGCGGGTGTTTTATCCACTTACCATAACTTAACCATCGATAAAACTGTGAATGAGGGAACAGTCTTCTATAATATAAAGGCAGAAGGTCACCTAAAGTGTCTGGATTGTATTCAACAGACATTATAAAAAAAATTAAAAGGGATGTATTTAAAAACTGTTTATTCTTATTATTGGCGGGAAATATATTTCAGGTTAGAGTGAATATAGTCACACTTATTTAGACCTTTACTCAGTGAATATTCAGCTAGGTATATCTGTTTAACTGGTTCCAATATTTAATTAAATACTGAAATAAAATAAGGAAAACATAAATAAAACGCTGCTAATGGTGTAGTATTTTATTATTAAATTACACTTATTATACATTTAACGAAATAATAATAATTGTTTGGGAAGTGCTGAAGCAATTTATCCAAAAATGTTCCCAAAAAATGGAAAGTTATCGAAACCGTCTCTGAAGATATGCCCACGGCCGATTTTATCTCTAAAATCATGACCGATGTCTTTAATATCGCCAAAATCAGGAAAATCTAGATCAAACGGAAATCCTGGGGCCGCTTCTCCCGGTATGGGTAGCACCATCAAGATCGCTAGGAAGCACATTGCGTATATCTGAAAATAATTGAGAAACTCTATTAAATGTACGAATAAGCACTATATTTTAGGTTTTATATTTTCGGACAATGAAATGAATATCTACTTAGCCAATTAGATAATAAAATAATACAGAACACAATGAAAATATCATTTGAAGGTTATAACGGTTTTAGTTACCTATTTTAAATTTAAATAACTAAATCCGTTTGAAAATTACATAATATTTAGACAAAGAAAAGGTTATCTTATACAAAATAACAAGTAAACATCAAAAAAGAAAACTTTCAATTGAATACTTACGAAACTTTTGTCCATTTTATTTACGAAAATGTTTTTCACCTGTTACCTTACAAATTTATGGGAAACTGTATATTTTCCATCCATTTCTACTATTTATCTACTACTAATTAGGTACCTATAAAGTCATTAACTGTGTAAATGAATTTTTGATAGTGTTTTTCAAAGTATTAGTGACGATGCAAGCAACAACATGGATTAAAAAATATTTTCTATTGAAAAATGAGTCATGATAAAAATTACCTATTTATTAATGCGATGTGAAGACCGAGCAGAATGTTAAGATATTGGCTACAAAATATAGTTATAGATAGTATTTTTTACCAAAAAGGAAATAGAATAACACCAGAAGAAATTTAAAAACACACCAACAACAGTATGAAAAATGGGATTTGCCGGGGGTAGTACGCATAGAATTAATTAAATAAGGCCCTGAAAAACTATTCTGCTATTAATTTATACATGAAATTTAATATTGAGATGCTTGCTATGTTCCTTCTTCAATATATCCCACTAAAGATATATTTAAATCACATTTTTTTTTGTTATCTCCTATTAGTATCAATGAACTAACTGCTAATATCAAGTATTCTAAGAGATCCTCCCCTGGGATTGATGGTATCAATTATCTTTTGATATATAACTTGCACCAGAGCATCTGCACACAGAATGGGACTAAATATAAATGTTCAAAAGACCAAATATATGCTGCTTTATTGTGATATTTGGTGCATATGACGTTATCACGACCTTCTGATCACTTTATTACAAAAAAATTTGACTCTGTGAAAAATAACAAACAAATGGTGGGCAATAAAACCTCCAACTCTAGCTGTGCTTTTCCCAATTTATCACATATCATTCAATGAAGAAGGATTCCAATTTTTGGCTAATTGACATAATATGAATATAATCCTGCTGAGAATCCTTCATCTATTTAATATTCACGAAGATTTAGTAGTACACAACAAGGTAAGACTGTAACATTCTGGTAAAATTTATGCCGATGGCTCCAAAAAGCTTGCTTGTGTTGGCTGTGCAATGTGATTGAACATAGACAACATCAAATTATTTTCAGTACAAATAAGAATCAGTTGCTTAATCACAGTGATTGGTAGCCATTGCAGGCGTTGGATTGGATAATTAACAGCACATTATATTTCGAACGATATATAATTTTATCAGACTCACAGTCTGTCCTCCTCGCATTAAGACACTTCTCTAAACACATATATAGCAACAGACTAATTGTAGATGCGCTTAAAAAGCTAAGGATCCTAACTTCTCTAAAAATAATTGTTAACTTTGTGTGGGTTAAAGGTCACTCTAATATTCCAGGCAATGAAAAGGTAGACCATTTGGCTAAAGATGCTACTTTAGCGGATATAGAATACAACGAGTTGCCCAAATGGGATTTAGGTTCAGCTAGGAAGAAACATGTTAGACTTAATTGGAAAATTGAGTGGCAATCCTTTACTAACAGTTGCAAAAATACATACTGCAGTAAATATCGAACTCTTCCATCTACTCCCCCAAATGACAGAAACTCCATCTGTCGGAAAATTTATACAATGTATGTTAGATGCCTTTTTGGACATGCTTCAGTAAACGCTTACCTATGTAAAATAAAACTTTCCGAAACTGATATATGTGAATGCAATGGCAGTTATGACTACCTTAACCTAGGATGTTTTAATATCGGTATAATCAAGAAGCTATACAATTTTTATTTGAAGCCATCTCCAACAAAAAATCATACTGCCGCAGACCGTTGTTTCTATTCTTCTATTATCTTACCTGTAATATTCAGTCTCAATAGATCATTGATATAGATATTGAAGAGAATTGGTCCTAAGACTGTTCCCTGCGAGACTCCATAGGATATAATTCTTCCTTTACTAATTTCTCCATCTATATAAACATGTTGTTGGCTGTTTAAAAGATAACTTTCTAGGATATTATATGCAAGCCATCTAATACCAATTTTTTTAAGTTTAGTTAGTAATATTTTATGTGACAACAGTGTCAAATTCCTTTGATAAATCTACAAATATACAAAGAGCTGGTCGTGTATTATCAAGAACTTTGTAGATGTTAGCTGTTAGAGCACAGATTGCATCTTCAGTGAATTTTCCTTCTTGAAATCTATACTGATATTCAGATAAATATTGATTTTTTTTTAAATTGTAAGTCTTAATTATTTTTTCTAATATTTTGCGTATGTTTGAATTAGGGTGATAGGCCTATAATTCTGACAATATATTTCTTCGCTAGATTTGAATAGTGGTTGTATAGTTCCAGTTGTTAAAATATCTGGAAAAATGCCTAAATTGAAACATGTATTTATTATATATGTTAAGGATTTTTTGCTGTTTTGTTATTTCTTTAATAATAATTTTAATAGGTACTCTAAAAGAAAACTGTTGGAAAGACGAAAGAAAGAAAAATACTAAATTTATACAAAAATTTATTTATTTACTTATTTTAATTATTATTAGTCACCGGAATTAGTTAGTACTGAATCAGTCTTTATAAGGGATGAGGATGGGGATAATCGTGGGACTTTTTGTAATAATCCTGTCCATGAGGTGGCTTGTAGCCGTGTGGGGGATGTCCAAAGTCGTGTTTTTGATGATCGTGGTCGTACCCGTGTCCAAAATCTTTATGGTCGTGTCCAAATCCATGCTCTTCATGTTTTTGATGTCCATATTCTTGTTTTGTGGTTCGAAATGATGTTCTTTATATCCGTGGCCGTAGTCTTTGTGGTCGTGTCCAAATCCATGCTCTTCATGTTTTTGGTGCCCATATTCGTGTTTTGGTGGCTCGTAATGATGTTCTTTGTGCCCGTGGTCAAAACCATGTTCTTCACCATGTTTTTGATGACCAAAATCATGTTTTTGTGGTTCATAGTGATGTTCTTTGTGATCATGACCGTATTCTTTATAATCGTGACCAAAACCATGGCCGTGGTCTGGAGGTCCATATCCGTGACCAGGTTGAGGAGCTGCTCGAATTAAAACGGTAACAGCAAGAAGTAAAATTGAGATCTAAAAAGAAAAAATATAGTTATAAAATAGAATAATGCTTTATATTTAAGTTAAAGAACTCTTGAACAAATCACGAACACTCATTTTACACATAAAGATAGCCGTGCTTTTCGCCATGTCTAAAGTTTGAAGAACTCAAAAAGCAGGTGGCATCAAAGGAAAGCTTTTTCGGCAACAATCCCTATCCACAGGACAATTATCGATGCACCACTGCACTTTGCAGTCAAACAAATAATGATAAATACCAAAAACAAGGAAATAAGATAAACATAAGGTACCAAGAGAAATGAATGAAAATTGTATAATTGAAAAAAAAAAATAAATGAAGAAAGACCAAAAAAAAATTGACAAAGTCTAGAGAAGTGTTGTTAGTCCCTAAAACCATTATTATCGCTTAAACTATTGGAAGAAACTTCAAATAATTTGCAGGAAAAGCAGTATACTGAATCTTTCTTTAAGTAAATAAGCCAGTTTCCACGTACTTTTCATTATTCGTTACGTGCAAACAAATTTGTGCTATCAATAATTTTCAAATGCACTATAGTAATAAGTTGTATATAAATAACAGCATTTTTTAAGACAGCTAATTTAGAACAGAATTGAGTTATATATAAACCTTTAGTGTCTTTCAAAAGTATGTGCCTATATTTACAAAAATCTATTGGGTATCTCACAAACAGCTAATGCAGTACAATAAATGTTTTATTATATTAAACAGATACATTTTTGACTTAAAACATATAATATAGAACTCTGAGTCTTCCTTTATTTTAATTTTAATAAAACCACTACAAAAAACTGTTAAAAATAACTTGTTCAACCTTAAAATCGTTTTTAACACCACTAATTGGTGCTGAATCATAGTACTCTGCATTTCTAGTTGTAAGTGACGAATCGAATGAATTGTAGGCAGTCCTAGTAAATATAATTAGTCGGGAAGAAGTACCACCTTCTTTAAATCTGCTAATTGAATTCTTAGTACATACAGTAGGTGGATCTATAAAATAGATCTTTGTATAGTGTATTTTTATGTATGAGAGAGTAATAAAACAATAAATTATGTATGCAAATATGTGTTATGGAAAATTTGGAAGTGCCGTGTAAACGCCGAAAAATTGGTCCTTTAACAGTTAATGAAAAAATATTAATATTTAATTGTTTTAAATCATTTACAGACAAACGTTTATGTGAAAGTGTTGATGAGACCGTTGAGTTAGTTAGCAGTACACTTGGTGTTGGGAAATCTACGATTTACAGAGTTATTAAAGAAGAGAAATGTGGTAGTTTTCAAATGCCACGTAATGCTCCAGGGAAACCAAAATTTCAAATAGAATATCATTTTAAAGAAGGACTTCGACGGAAAGTGCATGAATTCTTCTTTAGACAAGAATTTCCAACATTGGATAAAGTTCTTGTCTCAGTTCGAGATGATAAGGATTACCCAGAAATGAGTCGAAGTACGTTATGGAAACTTTTAAAAGAAATAGGCTTCCGCTGGAAAAAGAATCCCAGAAAGTCTATTTTATTAGAAAGAAGCGATATTGTCATATGGAGAAGACATTTTCTAAGAACCATAAAGGAAATGAGAAACCAAAAAAGAAAAATATTTTATCTTGATGAAACATGGATCAACGAGGGTCATACACCAAATAAATTTTGGCAGGATGAAACTGTTACAAGTCAAAGGCACACTTTTGTAAATAACTTATCTACTGGTTTAAACCCACCATCAGGAAAGGGACGCAGGCTGATAATAGTACACATTGGCAGTTCAGACTGTTTTGTTGAAGGTGTTTTATTAACTTTTGAATCAACTCGTACCGGTGACTACCATGAAGACATGAACGCTGATGTCTTTCAAGAATGGTTCGAACAAATGATAGATCGTCTTTCTAAGAACTGTGTAATAGTAATGGGTAATGCAAGTTATCACTCCAGACTTATAGAAGGACTGCTTACAACCAAGTGGTTAAAAAAAGACTTGCAGAATTGGCTGAGTTCAAAAAATATTACGTACCATCCCGATCTATAAGAAAGGAACCCCCGATCATAAAGAAAAATTTAAAAAATACGAAATTGATGAAATTGCCAAAAATCGTGGAATGACAGTACTTAGATCCCCACCATATCATTGTGAATTAAACCCGATTGAACTGGTATGGGCACAGATAAAGAGTGAAGTTTCAAGAAAAAATACCACTTTTAAAATTCATGATGTTAAACAGTTGTTTTTGGAGGCCGTAAATAATGTAAAACCTGAAAACTGGGAAAAGGCAGTAAATCACACTATTAAAGAAGAGGAAAAAATGTGGAAGCTGGACAATATTACTGATAAAATGATCGAGCCAGTTATTATAAATCTTGGTTCTGAAAGTTCATCTTCTGAATCTGATTTGGATTTGTAACAAGTAGCTGTAAGTTTTATATTAATATTTTTATTCATCTATTTAACATACCTTAGACGGTTTTAAAAACTCTTTTTCTCTTTTGTAATTTTTAAAAATTAAAAAAAATGTGAATTTTTTAAAACCCTTTTTAATGTAAGCCAGTCAGTTCTAATATAGTGTGTGATAAAAGAGGTCACTTTTGTTACATACACATAACACTTTATAACACTGAAATAATTCATTTATTTTTTACAATTATTCAAAGTAATTTTTTCAATTAATCTTGAGCACGCCCATGGAGTGGTCGGAGATACCAGTTAAAATTATGCTAATTACTCTCTCGTTCATAAAAATAAACTATAGTACTGGCTAAATAAGCTGTTTTAAATTTATTTAAAGAAACAATATGGTAAATTTTGAAATCATAAATTCGAAATGTAATTCATTAAAATTTGTTTCATCGTTGTGATCTAGTTGTAAAAAGGTGTATTGTTTTGGGAATAGAGATGGGAAAAAGCACTTTTGAGATGGGAATTTGATTTTTCTTAATTTTTGGTTGCTTTTGAACAATTTCTTCCTTTAAAAGTGCACATAAGACCATACAATTTATTGTTAATGGTCTTTTTATTTCTCAAAAAAACTTTCTAATTGTAGTACAATTGTTAAAGTTTTAGTGTCAATTGTTTGTAGTTTACAATGTCAATATTGATTTAGAGATCATTACTTATCACGGTAACAATTAATATTATCCCTGGTAATCAGAAGAGGAATTCAAATGCTTGACAAATTTGATAGAAACGTCTATCTAGATTTGATAGTCGTTTAAAATCAAAAACTACACAAGAAAGCCCTGAAATTAGTATTTCCACCACCAGAGAAAAAACCCAGTAGCTTCTGGTCGATTACATATACAGGCAAAATATCAACAAAAATAGCCAAAATACATAAAAAAAGAAAGGAATAACACCAGCTTTCAGAAGAAATAACAACTTAGGAAAATATATTAAAAACAACAAGAACATAAATGTGGCGACTGCCCAAAAACTTACATCGGTCATACTGGTAGAAATTTTAATAAACGAATAGCAGAACATAAAAGGGCTTTCAATAATAGAAAAACAGATTCTACATAAGCAGTTCACCTAGATCATAATCATTCTTTTAATGACGAATTTAAAATACTTCACATTCAAAATAAAGGCCTTAAACTATCTTTGTTAGAATCTATGGAAATTAACAAATGAAAAAACACAGATATAATTCTGAATGACCAACTTGAGACAAACAGTTCTCCCCTCCTCAACCTATTTCATTAGAGACTATAAAGTGTAAGCGCATGCCAAAAATAGATCACTAAACAAAGACAATCAGCCGAAACAATTGTAGTGATAAGAGTTTATTATAGTTTTGAAAACAAAGTTTTCAGTGTTTTATTGTTGCATAAAATGAATTTCCATCAAGTAACGGTCGAATCCATCAATTATTAGAATTAATAAACTTTTAATTTTATAATCCGTTAATAACGTTTTTTATGATGTTTGATACAATAATACAGACTCTTATCGATGTTAGATATGTTATGAACTTCTTAATAGAGTATTTTATTAGCAAATTCACACTTACCGTTAGTTTTGCCATCTTAACTTCCACAAAACACAGTTATTTTATTCTTGAACTCGATTCTAAAACGATTCTTCTTCGACTGAACTAAAATTTGCGCATCTTCTAACATTTATATTCATTCTGTGAGTATATGTTTGCACAGGAAGTCCCTCATCATTAAAATCAAGCATGTTAATAAGCCGGTATTACCGTAAGCTGAAGATGGTTTTCCCCAGAATCTACAAGCTCTTTTGCGACTTCTGCATCTTCAAAATAAAAGGATGCGTAGGAATATGCAAATGTTGACAAAGCAGAGACGGATTAGGTATAATTAGTGACAAATTGACTTACAATTTAGTACACGATACTTGTTACATATTTAAAAAACCAGTTCCCTCTGTACTCGTTGGCAATAATAACAAAATTATTGTAAATGAGTACGAAATAAGAAAAGTATGGTAGCTGTATACATCAGAGTTGTTTGAAGATGACAGGAATAATATTGTCGAGTTCTACCAAAACTGTACTGAAGGCCCAGAAATTATGAAATGCGAGGTAGAATACGCTATAAATAATGCTAAAATTAGAAAAGCTTGTGGTCCAGATGATACACCAACTGAGTTGCTGAAACTAATAGAGAGTGATAACATAAAAGTAGTAGTAAAATTTTTTTAATTCAATATATAACACCGGAGTGATTCCCACAGATTGGCTCCATACAACGAGGAGTCAGTCAAAGTTGCATTTTGTCGCCAACATTGTTCAATGTTTACTCGGACCAGTTATTTAAAAAGTCACTTGAGAGATAACCATATGGAATAAAAATCAACGGGGATTCACTTAATGTGCAGATGCAGATGATAGAGTAATTCTGTCAGATAATATTGAAGGTCTTAAAATTCTGCTTGATCGTATTCACGAGGTAGGAGAACTGGGCATTAAAATAAACTCAAACAAAACCAAATTTTTAGTGTTTAGTCGTGACCCACATCCCAATGCAAAGCTTCAATTAAACGGAGTCCATTTCACACAATCTCGTGATGCTCATTGTCAGTCGGAAAACCTCTATACCAGTGCCGTCAGTTTTCCACAAGTCTGTTGTATTGAGGTGACTTGCTTTTCTTACACCTGCAAGATATAAGAGACCTAAAAGGACACGAATTACATTATATATGTTGGGTATATAAGTCGATCGCGATTAAACTTCTGCTATTCTGTTTCTATTTTTGTATTGGTCCCATCAACAATTGTTTGCAACATATTATCAGTATCAAATAGATTGTTCCAAATATCTAAAATATCGGTTTTCTATCTGACACATTGTTTTGAACCTGGAAGTTGCACAACAATATTTTCACTTCGAGTTCTGACGTTTTTGGGGCAATATTCTTAGCTCATTTTGTTTTATTATCTTAGTCCAAAAAAATAGTCAAAACTTCTGCCCTTGCCCGTCGAAACTTTTTCAAAAAATGCTAAAAATCTATTTTTTATAATCCCTAATATCTGAAAAATAAAGTTGTATTCTAAAACAATTACTTATAAGTCACAAAATTCTTTTACTTCTCTAGACGCATACGGTCCACTGCACCGGCTTTACAAATTACAAACTTACAGTTTGAGCATCAACACTGCAATTGTACACAGTCGATACATGTCGTAAATGTACTTATCAAAAGAAGGTACAGAGCCGGAGAAACTAGAAAGCTCCGACTGGCTGCGTCTACTGAAAGGTTTTATAGCTATGGACCATTTTGTTGAATTTTAAAGGATTTAAAAATGAAAACAAAGATCAGCAAAGAATTAAAACGTAAAACAATTAAATAAGAAGTGTGTATGGAAAAAGACCTCTACCTCCTTGTAGGAGTTTCAATAGTCTGTCATGTTAGTTTGCAATAGGATCCTTGTCTGGACCCCCAATGCAATGTTGTTGAGCAGTTCTTTTTGACCACACTTCATGATCTATTTTAATTTATAACTCTTTAAATGTACTTATTTTCCTTTTATCTAGTTTTGTTTCACGTGTTTATAAGTTCATTTTATGATTTTATCACTAGAACCATATCCTCTACTGCATTGTAAAGTGAACCGACCATCATCATCATCATCGTCATTCTGGCTTTAGAACGTATTCCAATATTTCTCATATTTTCATCGATTACTATTTATAACTGGGTAATAAGCCACAATTAAAGATAAAAAATACGTTTATTGACGTTTCAATTTCCAATTCGGAAATCGTTCTCAAAATACAAACAGTAAATTAAACAAATTTTGTTTTTTGTTACATAGTGAAAAAATTCTTCTAATAATTTAATTTTATCTGACTCATTTATATTGACAATTCAGACATACATTATGCATTTTAAAGTAGAGGACTTTAAAATGGTATTGCCAATATTGTTGAGTTGCGCTCCTGGGACGACTTTACTATAAGATAGTTCATTCGATTACATGAAATCAACTTTAACTTGAGAATATCCGTCAGAAAAAATCATAGCATGTAATTCGTCTTTAAAAAGACAAACACATGACATGATGACAGTAAAATTCTCCTGTTAGTGATTCCATAGTAAATTATGAGGGAAAAACCAGGAAAAAAACCTCATAATACTATCCCGACATTGTAAGTATTTGTTCGTGAATTTAGTTTACCTTCAACAAACATCAAAATTCTGATTTTATATGTTACGTTATATTTTATATTGATGTTTGTTGAAGGTAAACTAAATTCACGAACAAATACTTACAATGTCGGGATAGTATTATGAGGTTTTTTTTCCTGGTTTTTCCCTCATAATTTACTATGGAATCACTAACGGGAGAAATTTACTGTCATCATGTCATGTGTTTGTCTTTTTAAAGACGAATTACATGCTATGATTTTTTCTGACGGATATTCTCAAGTTAAAGTTGATTTCATGTAATCGAATGAACTATCTTATAAGTAAAGTCGTCCCAGGAGCGCAACTCAACAATATTGGCAATACCATTTTAAAGTCGTCTACTTTAAAATGCATAATGTATGTCTGAATTGTCAATATAAATGAGTCAGATAAAATTAAATTATTAGAAGAATTTTTTCACTATGTAACAAAAAACAAAATTTGTTTAATTTACTGTTTGTATTTTGAGAACGATTTCCGAATTGGAAATTGAAACGTCAATAAACGTATTTTTTATCTTTAATTGTGGCTTATTTCCCAGTTATAAATAGTAATTAATTTACAATGCCACAAGAAAATAGCTTCAGAACAATATTTTCATCGATGTTATCACGGGATCTTCTATTAGGTCTTTATCTTCTTCTGTGACCAATGGGTCTATCAAGGAGCGTTTTTCTGGTTAGGACATTTTGTTCCATCCGCATTACATGCCCTATATACCTCAGACGTCCTCAGTTTTCAACTCTGTCTCTTTTTGTAAGTCTACAGCTTCTCCTCAGGAACTCCATTTCTATTGCTCTTATTCTACCTCTATTTCTCTTGTTTATTGTCCAGTTTTCGGACCCATATGTCAGGATACTTCTTGTCAGGGTATTATATATTCTCTTTTTTGTCTTTATCATAATGTTCTTATCCCACAGCACTGAATTTAGTTATCTTATACAGTTTCTTGTTTGTCTTAGTCTGTTGTTTATATCTTCTTCTGTTGTTCCCTAGTTCGATATTATGGTTCCTAAATACTTGAATTTATCTGTTCCATTTACTTGTCTTTCCTCGTCTATCTCTATGTTTCTCATATCCTTGTTTTCTGTTGTTAGGTATTCGGTTTTCTCTAAGTTTATTTCCATTCCGTTGTTTTTATATTCTTCTTCTAGTTTTCTAAGCATAAAGCTAAGATCTTCTTCATCTTGTGCGATGACTACTTGATCGTCGGCAAAACTTAAGGTGTATAGGTATTCGTCTCTTACTGGTATGCCCATTCCTTCGCACTTTCTCCTCCATGGTTTGAGTGTCTTTTCCAAGAATATTTTAAACAGAGTAGGGGACGTAGCACAGCCTTGTAGAAGTCCTTTTTCGTCTTAAATGGATTGTAGGCTTTATTTCCACATTTAATAGCTACTTTGTTTTCTTTGTACAGTGCTTTAACTGCTTTTATTAGTGTTTGTCGGATTCCGAGATCATTCATTGCTTCTCATAATTTGACTCTAGGTATTGAGTCGTATGCTTTCTTTAGATCAACAAACGCCAGATGGACCACCAAAAGGTAGACCACCTTTTGCCATTTTCTTCTCTATCAGTTGTTCTAATGTGTACGTATGATCTAGGCATGATTTTCCTACTGTGAATCCTGCTTGGTCTTCTCAAATTTTTCCTATTATTTCAGTTTCTAGTTTTTCCTTGATAATTTTCCCGTAAAGTCTGCCTACCGACGATATTATACTAATTCCTCTGTAGTTTTCACATTTTTTCATAGTAGAAAAAAAGTTTTTTTCTTTACATAGTAGAAATTTGTTTAAAGGCTGCAATCTGATGAATTGGCAATTTACCACCTTTGTGGTAAATTGCCAATTTATTATGTGGAAATATAGATGTCTGTATCTATATATCTTGTATAAGCTGCTATAATGCCATTATGGTATTATGGTCACCGTCTTTATATAGTTCGGGTGGGATATTATTTATTCTGGGTGATTTGTTTCTGGCTAGTTTTTAAACTGTATCTTTAACTTCAAGAATCTTTGGTGGTTCCTCTTCCCTATCGTCTCTTCCCTTACCTCATCTTTTTCGTCTTCCAGGTATTCTTCTTTTTTCTCTATTTTAAGTGTCTCTATTCAATACATCTTTCGATGTTGTTAATAGGTCGCCATTCTGAACCGCATTATAGAATGCTCTGATGCGATTATCTCCCCAGATAATTTGTAATCTTTTAAGGGACCATCATCAAACAAAAACATCTACATTATTTAGAAAATGGGCCAAGTTAGTCAAACTATGGTAAGGAACATAACAGTATTTTCTACAGTCTACAAAAAAACGATATAAGCATATTTAGTGCAATCATAATTTCCCATAATTGTTAAAATCAGAAAAAACGTCTATTTTATTTTATTGATCAGAGAACAACCGTTCATCTTACATAAAATGACGAATTAATGGGAATTTTTCAAGAAAATAATATTTTTAACCGGTTAGTTGCCTAATGAGCAACACCCATTATTCAAATTAGTT